ACTTTAAGGTACCATTATAATAATTTATTTCACCAGAGCCCTTTTAAAGAATGCCGGATCATCAGATAGCACTTCCAAAATGAAATGAAATGAAATATATATATATATATATATATATATATATATATATATATATATATATATAGATAGATAGATAGATAGATAGATAGATATGATTATAGATTTTAAATTTTGCTGTTTGAGTTTTTCTTTTATTGACAACCAAATATTCTGTCTTCTCGAAATTGATGTTAACCCCTTTCTTTAACTACTTTCCTGTAGGAGTTTTCATAGTTTCCATTCTATGTCTGCTATCGACACTGTACCATTGGCATATGTTATGCCGTTAATATTATGCCTGCCAGTAATGAATTCTTCTAGGACATCTCATACTCTCAGAATCGATTCACTGTATAATTTGAATAACTATGGTGAAAAGGAAACACCCTTCTCTTACCGCCAGTACCGTGTTTATATATATAGTCTTGTATGGGCGGCAGTCCAGGGGCCGAAAGTTTATAGGAACCCCAAATGACCCTCTAGTCTACGGCCTATAACAAAACTAAAAATAATAAAGATTTGGTGATCTTTCTTTTTCTTCCCAATTATGTTTTTAGGGTCTTTTGCTAGTGAATTTCTATAGAAGCACTACATTCTAGATACATTTCTGTAGGATGTAAAATTCGGATGAAAAAATAACATGAAGTTGCTTATGAAATAAACTGGATGAGTTCCAAAATGATTGAAAATTTTAGTTGAAGTTTTTCAGATTTTACACCAAAAAGTATTCTCTAAAAAAATATATCATTTCTTTTATAGAAACAGATTTGGGGGCAAACATACGTAATGAAGGGTCCCCCGCTCAAATTTTATTAACCCAGTGACCACTTAAGGCCTAAATCCGGTAAATTTTTTTATGTATATGTAAAATTTCAGATATAACTAAAAATATATATCTGTAAAATGACAATAAGAATAAAAACAAAAGGCAAACTTATCTTTGTTAGTGTGTTTCATTCACTGATGGACTTTATCAAGGCAAATGTAAAGATTTTATTTTGAAACAAGTATTTGGATTCAGGGATTGATTTATACATTATGTATTTTAAATAATGGAATGTTATGAATTTAAAAATTTTCTTTTAATTTTTTAAAATTTTTATAGTCAAAAATTAATAATTTAAAAGAAAATGGTTTAATTCATAATAAGATAAATGGTTAAATTCATAATAAGAAAATGGTTAAAATCATAAGAAGATAAATGGTTAAATTCATAATAAATATTTAAAATATATAATGTATAAATTAATCTCAAACTAAAATAATATAAATAATGATTACAGTATAAAAAATAATTCAATATTTAATCATTTTTGTTTATTAGACATTAAATCCGCAATAGTTTATCTTGATTTTTCAGTGAGTTTATCTTTGTTAGTGTGTTTCATTCACTGATAGACTTCATCAAGGCAAATGTAAAGATTTTATTTTGCAACAAGTATTTGGATTGAGTGATTAATTTATATATTATATATTTTAAATAACAGTGAGTCATGAATGTAATCATTTTCTTTTGATTTTGTAACATTTTAATGTTTTACAATTACTAACTTGGCTATTTGATGTTGACAATTTTAACAATAAATGTAAATACTTTTTTTCCAGCTGTGGTGATCTTGGATTTTAAGGTTGTAGCAAGTCAGAATATCTCATCTCCATCATCTTTACGGGTTTTTTTTTATGATGCTTTACTAGTGAATTTGAATACAAGAATTTTGGCGTCAAGCAGGCCCTTCATTCTATATACATTTCTGTAAGATGTAAAAATATGAAATCGCTAATGAAATAAATTGAATAAATTCCATCGTTAAAACATTTAGTAGAATATTTTCCGGTTTAAATAAAAAAAAACAATACACGTAAAATATTTACATTATGTACATTATTCGGACTGTTCATCTCATCTTCATTGCCATATTCACAACGTTTCGGCCGTTGTACCCTATGTCTCTCTATATATCTGTCTATATCTCTGAGATGAGGTATTATGATTATTGCATTATTTGCATAATTCGAACTGTTATCTCATCTTCATTACTATATTCACAACGTTTCAGCTGTTGTATTCTCCGGCCTTTATGTCTATGTCTCTCTATATATCTGTTCTATATCTCTGAGATGAGGTATTATGATTATTGCATTATTTGCATAATTCGAACTGTTATCCTCATCTTCATTACTATATTCACAACGTTTCAGCCGTTGTATTCTCCGGCCTTTATGTCTATGTCTCTCTATATATCTGTCTATATCTCTGAGATGAGGTATTATGATTATTGCATTATTTGCATAATTCGAACTGTTATCCTCATCTTCATTACTATATTCACAACGTTTCAGCCGTTGTATTCTCCGGCCTTTATGTCTATGTCTCTCTATATATCTGTCTATATCTCTGAGATGAGGTATTATGATTATTGCATTATTTGCATAATTCGAACTGTTATCCCCATCTTCATTACTATATTCACAACGTTTCAGCTGTTGTATTCTCCGGCCTTTATGTCTATGTCTCTATATATCTGTTCATATCTCTGAGATGAGGTATTATGATTATTGAATTATTTGCATAATTCGAACTGTTATCCTCATCTTCATTACTATATTCACAACGTTTCAGCCGTTGTATTCTCCGGCCTTTATGTCTATGTCTTTGAGATGAGGTATTATGATTATTGCATTATTTGCATTATTCGAACTGTTATCCTCATCTTCATTACCATATTCACAACGTTTCAGCCGTTGTATTCTCCGGTCTTTATGCCTATGTCTCTCTATATATCTGTCTATAACTCTGGGATGAGGTGTTATGATTATTTACATTATTTGCATTATTCGAACTGTTATCCCCATCTTCATTGCGATATTTACAACTTTCGGCAGTTGTCTGCTCCGGCCTTCATTAGGTGATTGAAATTTCGAATCGAACACTTTACTTAGTGCACCAGGTCAGATTGTTCTAGTTCCACTTGCCATGACTTTTCTGGATGTCTCAGTTATTTCCCTTTAATTCAACTCTCCGTGATTTTTGTTTTAACACTGCCGAAGCCTGGTATTGAACTCACAACTCTTGTGTATAGTCACTGGATCTAACCAACAAGGACACTTGGTCTAAACTTGACGACACATGGCCCAGTGGATAAAGACTTTGGTTATTAGCTCTCTACTAACCTCTTAAGGCGTAAATACGATCGTGTCGACGCTCCTTTCTGTTATCTTGTATATATACTGAATGCATTTTCTATCCCTATCCAAGTGGCTAGCTCACACTATAGTTTCTGGATTATTCTAATATCCCCCCTCCCAAAACGTGTTTATTTTTATTTCATTCAAAAACATTACTTTCTGTGGTATTATGATAGCTGTCATGTGAGAATGCAATACTTCACTGTGTCTTTTATATTCTGATATTGGCATTTATTATTGAGGAGAGAAGGAAAATCAATATATTATTAACTTTAATGTTTTTCTCTATGTTGTTAACTATATATATATTTTTATCACAAAATGATTTCGGCTAAACAGACGATGAGAAAGAAGAAATGATTTTTAGTAATCTAGAAAACGGTTTCAGATAAAAAAAAGTAAAAAAAAACAAAAACAATATTAACAAATTTGTAAATCAGACAAACCTTTTCAAAACAATGCACATAAAAGAGATGATTTCATATTTTATGCATGAGGTCATTCGCCCCAGTATTAGTAGAAGTAATTTTCACACTATAAGGTGACAAGAATAATAGCATATTTTATCATCTAATGGTAGACATCTCAAATCTAATGGTAGATATCTTAAATCTAATGGTAGATGTCTCACATCTAATGGTAGATCTCTTGCATCTAATGGTAGAGATATCACATCTAATGGTAGATATGCCACATCTAATGGTATACATCTCACATCTTAATAGTAGATATCTCATATCTAATGGTAGCTATTTCACATCTAATGGTAGAAATCTCACAATTAATGGTAGATATCTCACATCTAATGGTAGAGATATAACATCTAATTGCAGATATGTCATATCTAATGGTAGATATCTCAAATTTTAATAGTAGATATCTCACATCTTGTTGTGGATTCCGGGATGAAATCCAGTACCAATAAATAGCAAACGCCAAGAATGAATATAGAAAATTCATGTATTAACGTAATAATACAAACTGGTAATGCCGGTTAGTAGTTCCATGAATGCGGGTTAGTAGCAAAATATGTATACAGTCTTAGGTATTGAAGTATCGCTGTATGACTTCTTACTGAGTCTACGTGCTTTGCTCACTGTGACTCTTGCTTGCTACGTTCTTTCTGTCTGTCTCTTACCTTATCCTCTGTTGCTCTCGTCTCTCGGGTCTTCCCGTAGCAGTAGTATATGTATATACTGGGTGAGTCCATTTGTGTAAAAAAGGGGAGGACCTCTCAACAATGGTAGAATATATCACATCTAATGGTAGATAACTCACATCTTACTTTTGCTAAGCTTTGAGCTTCAAAAATGTAAATGTTGCATAAATCTTTGTCTTCTGACTTCTTAACGTCTGCTTTTTTCTCATCTCTCCTTAATATTGTTTTCTTTTTTATCATGTACTCACACACTTACGTCCTAGTGGCTTTATTGCCTTGCGTGGGGCGAAATGATAAAAAAATGGCATTTAGCAGTCTTGGCTCTTCGTGCCTGAAAAAAAAGGGTTTCTACTCTTTTAACGACATTCACTTCTGGGTAATGTTTATGGTTTCAAAAAGCGAGGATTAGAATCTTAATAATTCTAAAGATATGATGAAAGTGAATTTACAGATTTTTTTTTTTGTTTCTTGAGATTTGACAGGAAAAATAATAAACACTGTTCATTTATTAGATCGGGTGTAAATCAAATGCATGAAAGATTTCAAACCTCGACCACCATTCTTTCATAGGCAGCCTATGAACTTTTCAACCCAC